CAGAACATTTTTATCACATCAGAAAGAAACCTTGTACCCATTAGCTGTCACTCCCCATTCCCCCTGCCTCTGTCTCCTAGCAACTACTAATCTACTTTTCTGTCTCTGTAGATTTGCCAATTCTGGACATTTTATATAAACAGAATCATTTGATATGTGGCCTTTTGTGTCTGATTGCTGAAGATTTCATATATATATATGGGGGTGCAGTGCCTAAGGTATTTGATTGCTAACCAGAAATTGGCAGTTCAAACCCACCAGCCGCTCTACCGAAGGAAGATGGGGCATTCTACTTTTGTAAAGATTTACCACCTTGGAAACCCAAAGGGGGTCACTGTGAGTTGGAATCGACTCGAGGGCATTGGGTTTGATATCTGTATATATAGATAGATAGATGGCATTTTGTGATTTATGTGAAAGTTTACAGAGCAAATTAGTTTTTGATTCAACAGTTCACACATAGCTTGTTTCGTGACATAGGTTGCATTTACAAGGCTTTTTAATGATGGTTTTAACCTTTTCAAAGTATGTTCACTTTTAAAAATGTACGCATAACAGCTCTATGAGGTAGACAGGAACTTTGTGACATAGTTGTGCTGACAGATTTATTATGTCTTCATGGCCTCAGCATAACACAGGATAAGAGGTTCAGAGGTAGCAGGGTGGAAGTTTAGAAAAGTAAAGTTAAAAGGAAAATAGGACATGATGACAAATAAAAAAATAATTCAGTCCTGTGGGATTTCTAGAACCATGAGTATTAAACTTTATTAAATTCAATGACAATTAAACATTCCAGCTGTATTTAAGAATTTAAAGTCTGAAGATGGATTGTTTCTGAACATTGTTGAATTGCATTTCAGCAAGGTTGTGAAAGGATGTCAGAATTGTGCTCCTGGTTTTGTCAAACTCTTTAAATGGAAGCCTGTTACAACATTGTGCAGAAGGGGTATGGTATGTTTATTTTTAATAAAGCAAATAATAGATCGCCTTTGCCTTTGTAGTAATTGAGTTGAGTATGGGACTTACATTTTGAAATACAATGCATTAATTCTTGAAAGTTGTGAGTATATTTAAATTTAATGGTTGGTATTAATAAAGTGTAACATTTTTCTATAAGATTTTGATTTTAAATATAGTCTGCTTTTAGGATGTAAATTGTGCTTTCTTCACAACTGAAGTTTCAGAAGGTCAGCTGCATAACAAGTAATAGGCTATCTTGCTGCCTACCCTGGCTCCAACCATTTTGTGGCACATACAAGATTTTGGCTAAGTTATTCTTTGGTTTCTATATCTGGTCTTTTGTCCTGATACAGCATACTGGTCTATGAGCTGGTAAGAAGGATTCTTTTTGCCTGGAAGCAGTCCTAAATAGCCTGCTTGGTGTTTCCTTGTCTTGGGTCCCATACTTCATTCTGCCTGTCTTTCTTGGGAATTGTGCTTCTTCCCTCAACAATAAGAGGCCCCTAGCCCCTTCTGTAGTACAATTCCCAAAGGAAGTAAGTTCTAAAAGGGACAAGTTATCCAAAATAAAAAGACAGCGAGGGGTACCTTGGCAGTGTATTTGGCATTTGAAGTCAAACCTTTTGTCTATTTACAAGTTCCTTCCTCATGAGTAGTAAATGCTGTTGTTGTTAGCTGCTATTGAGCTGGCCCCTGGTTCATGGCAACCACATGTGTAACAGAGTAGAACTACTCCATAGGATTTTCTTGGCTTTGATATTTATGGAGGCAGTATGCCAGGCCTTTTGTCCATAGAGTCAATTGGTGGGTTCAAACCACCAGCCATTGGTTTAGCAGCTGATTGTAAACTGCTTGCACCATCTAGGCTCCCTTAACTTATACTTTACTCTGTAAACTCACATCATAAAAATGTTTAGTCTTGCATAGGTGTTCAACTGTGGTTACTGTTCACATTGTTTTTCCATTGCTGAAGTGATATGTCTTATGAATATTTATGTACATTTTTCTCTTTTAGCTGAATTTGTTGTATTCGTATCTGCTTAGGATGGCATGATTTGTAGGGGAATATGTGGGCATATATATAATTTATTGAATCTTAGAGTTGGGCAGGATCTTAAAGGTTTTTCTTGCTCTGGTTGCCCACTTAAAACAGAAGCTCATCCTGAACCAACTCTTGACTTTTGTGTCTTACAGTCATTGCCATTGGTAAAGACCATGCTACTCTTTCTAGGTAGAACAGCTCCAACTGTTTGAAAATTCTACCTTGAACCCCTCTGACTGTGTTACCTCAGCCCATTTATTATAATTTTGTTCCTCTAGAAGTAGTCCTTTTATAAAAAGTTTACTTAGTGGTTTAAAGACAGATATCAAGGGCCTCATTACATTACACCTTACTATACTAAGCACACCCAGTTTTTGTTCACTTGCAGCCATGTTATAGTACTTCCCTATCCTGGTCACCCATGGGCATGTTTTAATTCCTTGGCTTTGAAATGTTTTTGATGTACAACCCTGATAAATAATATATCTCATATCACAGCTCAGTATACCCATACATATGCATACATACATAGTTTGTTTTTTAAAAACTTGTATTGTGATTTTGGTGAATGTTTACAGAGCAGTTTTTTTTCCCCATTGAACAATTCCTATACATTTTGTTTTTTTGACATTGATTGCAATCACCACAATGTAACAGCACTCTTCCCATTTCCTCCCTGTGTTTACCATTTCATATTGTCCATCATTCCTGTCTCGCCTTTTGAGCTTTATCCTTGGATAAGTGCTGCTCTTTTGATCTTGTATGATTGGCTGTTCTAAGGAATGCCTACCTCCCTGGTGTTACTGTTCACCTTATTGGCCTGTATATCATTTGGCTGAAAGTTGAGCCACAAGGGTGAGTTTCGTTCCAGGTTGAAGCATGTCTAAAGGCCATAGTCTACAGGGTTCAGACCAGTAGTAGTAGTAGTAGTAGTAGTAGTTAGGTGCTGTCGAGTTGGCTCCAACTCATAGAGACCCTCTGTATACAACAGACCGAAACACGGCCTGGTCCTGTGTAGCCTCATTATCCTTTGTATACCTGAGCCCATTGTTGCAGCCACTGTGTCAGTCCATCTCATTGAGGCCTTCCCTTTTTTTCACTGACCCTCCACTTTACTAAGCATGACATCCTTCTCTAGAGAATGGTCCCTTCTGACAACATAACCAAAGTAGGTCAGATGAAGTCTGGCTATTCTTGCTTCCAAGGAGCATTTCGGCTGCACTTCCTCCGAGACAGATTTGTTAGTTCTTTTAGCAGTCCATGGTACTTTCAGAACTCTTCACCAGCACCAGTAAGCATGGTGTTTTAATAATTGGAAAGAGAGAAGCTAAGCATCCTCACTCACCTATTTTGTTTCTTCAGTAAGCCTGGTCTTTTTGTTGTTTTGAGTTTTGTTCCACATTTTTTGCCCACTCCATCCTGGATCTCCTACTGTGATCCCTTTCAGAGTGGTCAGCATTGGTAGCTGGTCACTACTTGGTTCTTCTGGTTTCAGGTCGCAGCTGGAGCTTGTGTGGTCTATTAGTCATTTGGACTAATTCTTTCCATGTGTCTTTGATTTTCTTTACTCTTCTTTCCTCTAGACAAGAGTAGTCCTATAGTTGCACCGTAAAAGGCCACGCATAGGCTTTTTTTTTTTTTTTCTCTCCAGCGCCCCTAGAGGACAGAGTAGAACTGTCCATAGGGTTTCTAAAGCTATAAATCTTTTTTTTTTTTTTAGGATTTGGGTGAAGATTTACAGAGTAAATTCACTTTTCATACAGCAATTCACATATACTTTGTCTCATGTCATTGACCAAAATTTACAATGCAGCAGCTCCCCTCCTACTTCCTCCCCATAGTTACCTCCTCCCAGTGTCCATCCCTTCATACTCTTCGAGAGGCCCATTGTCTGCCAACCCTGTATATGATCTTGGATACACTCTCCATTTAGACATACATAATTGTTTAGCTTGTTCACCCATCTATCCGTCCCTATACCCATGTTTGCTTTCATTGACAACTCAGTATTGTATTTACAAAGGGGTTCATATTTGTTGTTTGTACTGCCCATGTAACTCTCTCTGTCTTTCTCATCCTCAATGCTGCCATATTGGTCACTCACATTTGGTACATTGCCCTTCTCTTCACCCAAATCAATATTTATCTCTATCTATCTAACAGCATTCCCTCCTCTTCCCTCCCACCCCTGGTAACCAACAAAGAAAATGTCCTCCAATATATAAACCTTTCCTTAACTTTCACAATAACGGACTAATACAATATTTGTCCTTTTGTGACTGACTTATTTTGCTCAGCATAATGTCCTCCAAGTTCATCCACGTTATGCGGTGTTTTGCAGATTCTACATTATTCTTTAGCGTTGCATAGTATTCCATTGTGTGAATGTACCAAAGTTTGGTTATCCATTCCTCAGTTGTTGGACATCTAGGTTGTTTCCAAGTTTTGGCTATTGTAAATAGTGCTGCGATGAACATCGGCGTGCATATATCTGTTCTTGTTATGGCTCTCACTTCTTTAGGGTATATACCTAGTAATGGGATGGCTGGGTCAAATGGTATTTGTATTTCCAACTTTTGAAGGAATCGCCATACTGCTTTCCACAATGGTTGTACCATTTTACAGTCCCACCAGCAGTGTATGAGAGTCCCAATCTCTCCACAACCTCGCCAGCATTTGTTATTTTTTGTCTTGTTGAACTTTGATACTAGTGCTGGAGCAAGATGGTATCTCATTGTTGTTTTGATTTGCATCTCTCTAATAGCTAATGATCGTGAGCATTTCTTCATATGTTTGTTGGCCGCTTGAATATCCTCCTTGGTGAAGTGTCTATTCATGTCTTCTGCCCATTTTTTAATTGGATTGTTTGTCTTTTTGTTATTGAGGTGTTGGAGTGTTCTATAAATTCTAGAGATAAGTCCCTTGTCAGATACACGCATAGGCTTTTAAGACCCCAGTCACTATTAACCAAAGTAGGATGTAGTTGTCTTTGTGGACTATGGATGCCACTTGTGCTATATGTGTGTGTGTATTAGTAATGATTAATTAGTAACTAATCGTTACTCTGATGTTTTCTGTTCTTTCTATTTCATTTTTAAAAATGCTATTGTTACCAGTTAAATGGATTTTTATTACCAACTGATAGGTTTTAGCCTGTAGTTTGGAAAACACTGTTATAGTTTGTTCATAATGCAGAACTTAAATAAACAGTTTCCAAAAGCTGCATGTTAGGTAATTGCTGCCAAAACAAGGTTTTACCTTTTTTAACCTGAAAGAATATTTTGATTGTGGTGATTAAGTAAAACTTAGTAGGATTATCAAGTCCTTGGTGATAAATGCCTTCCAACTAAAATAAAATACGTGCAATTTTCAATTTTTATCCTTAGGTGGCGACAGACAAGGTTGCAGAAAAGCTGAGTTCTACTCTCACATGGGTGAAGAACACAGTATCGCATACAGTCAGTCAGATGGCCAGTCAGGTGGCAAGTCCATCGGCTTCATTACACACTACGTCCTCATCTACCACACTATCAACGCCAGCTCTTTCCCCATCTTCTCCATCACAGTTGAGTCCAGATGACTTAGAACTCTTGGCTAAACTGGAGGAACAAAATAGGTGAGTAAGGATGCTTAGCGTCTCTCTTTCTAATTATTAAGAAACCCAGTCGTTCCTATATGTATGAGTATACGTGCTATGGTTAAAATGTTAAATATTTTTTGATAGGAAGAATGTTCTTGTTTCTGGCTCTCTGTATACTAATATTACTTAGCAGAAGTATTTAAGTCTTTTTTTTTTTTAATTTTTGGTAGGGGGAGCTGGTTAGTCTTAAAGCAGACTAAAATTTTCTTCTGGCTCAATAGTTTTAGAGATTTATTTTTAATTTAGCAAATTACCTAAATCCTTCCTGAATTTTAGCAATCTTCCCCCCCGCCAAAGGCAAATAAAACTATAATTTTTACTTTAAACTTTCTAAATAGATCTCTTTGGCTAAAATATAAAATAATTTAACAGAATGGGTATCTGATTTGGGTTTAGAGTGGGAAATCTTTCATAAATTCTCTGGAAGGTAGAGTATCCTCTTTTCATAATGGAAATGAAATAGAATAGTTTCCTAGTTTACTCTCTAGGAAAATGTACTCTGGACTTTCAGTGCTCCTTCCTTATGTTATTGTCAGAAGCCATTTATGGCATCAGCTACAAAAGAATATACAGGAAGAACACTCTTGTGCTCAGTAAGTATCTGCAATGTCACTACCTTTAAGAGTAATAACAGATTTTTCAACAGCTTTATTGATGTATAATTGATATCTAATAGGCTACACTTAAAGTGTACACTTTGGTAAATTTTGGCGTATATATACACCTTGAAATTATCACCAAAATCAAGAAAATAGACATATTCATGATCCCTTCTACACCTTCTTTCTCTGTTCCCAGGCATCTGTTGATTAGCTTTCCATCTCTGTAGATTGCTTTGGTAGGATTAACTTTTTATAATTTTATAGAAATGGAATCTTACAGTATATATTCTTTTCTGCCTGGATAATTTTACTCAGCATAATTATTTTGCGATTCATCTATGTTGTAGCATGTTAGTAGTTCATTCCTTTTTATTTATTCTTTGTTATAGACATTTTCTGGCTATATCACAGTTTATCTGTTCATCTGTTGCTATGAAATGCTATAAATATTTCTGAATAAGCCTTTGTATGGATGTATACTTCATTTTTCTTGAGCCATTACCTAGGAATGGTCAAAAAACCAAAACCAAACTCACTGCCATTGGGTTAGTTCTACTCATAGCGACCCCTTCTTGGGTGTCTCTATGGAAGTAGATTGCCCAACCTGCCTTCCGAGGAGTGGCTGGTGGGTTTGAACCGCCAGCCTTCTGGTTAGCAGTCAAATGCCTTAGGCACTACACCACCATGTTAAACTGCTAAATTGTTTTCCAAAGGGGCTATACTTTTTTCACATTCCCATTAGCAGTGTATGAAATTTCCATTTCCTCTACATCCTCATGCAGTCAACACTACATCAACATTAGGTAAATTTTTTTTTAGTCATTTTAATAGGTAGTGGTATCTCATTGTGATTTTAACTTGCATTTTCCTAATGTTAAATATCTTTTTATATCTTTATTTGCCATCTGTATTATCTTTTTTGATGAAGTGTCTTCAAACTTTTTGCCTGTTTAAAAAATGTGGGTTGTTTGCTTCTTATTGTTGAATTTCGAGAGTTCTTTATACATTTGGGATACAAGACCTATATCACAAAAGGACTTGAGATTTTCAATTTTTTTCCCCCAGACTCTTAACAGTGTCTTTGGAAGAACAGAAGTTTTAAATTTTGAAATCCAATTTCAACTTCTTTTTTTTTTTTTTTAATGGATTGTGTTATTTAGTGACCCAAAGTCACACAAGTTTTGTCCTTTGCTTTAGAATTTAAGTTTTACGTTTAGGTTTATGATCCATTTTGAGGTAATTTTATATATAGTATAGGGTGTAAATCAAAGTTCATTTTTTGAATATAAATATCAAATTATTCCAGCACCACTTGTTAAAGACTCTCCTTTCCTTGACTGAATCTTTTATCAAAAGTTTTCTAAAAAAAAAAAAAAAAATGCCTGCTGGGATTTTGATTTGGATTATATGAAAACCTCAACATTGAGCCATCTAGCTGACAAACATGATATATTTCTCAATTACTTAAGTCTTTAATTTCTTGCAGCAGTGTTTTGTACTTTACAATGACCACCTTTTTCGTATCTTCTACCAGAATCATCCCTATAAGTATTTTATATATTTTTTTTTTATGAAAATAGAACCATTTATTTATTTATTTATTTATTTATTAAGGATTATTATTATTATTTTTTTTTTA